GATTCCGTATCGATATTCTCCGATCTCGTAGGTGCACATTTCGCCGTTTCAGTCGACGAATAAGTCCAGGTTTAGTTTTAATTTACATGGGCTTAGTTTTAATTTACAAACGATCGGATTAGACAACGGTGATCGAATCCGACAGCAATGACGAAAGATGTGACTCCAGCGAGTCACGGCGCGTGACAAAGTCCCACCGATCTAGCTCGTAGTTTGAATATATATGCGCGATATGATTCTGCACGCATCGTTGAATTGTGAAACAACGGGGGACTCCGCATTCGTATATATATGAAACCAGCGCCTGTATATCAATTCAGCGCGGTGGATCAATTCAGTTTTGCCTAACACTGTCTATCGCGCATTCTATTTCCGCGGCGGATAGTTCGTCAATTCGACAGAAAAATCGTGAGACTCGACGCGGGGCAAGGTCCGGTGTTCAAAATTGAAGTAATTAAAACCCGGGTATGCGGGGGCCAGGAAAGAGTTGGCTATTGTCAGTCGAGAGCGTGCGCCTTGTTAAATTTCTCGGTCGAGCGGGATCCTTCGTCGCAAGTGGAGCGAAACGGATGGTCAATGGCCAATGATGACTCTAAACTCTCTCTCTCTTTCTTTCTCTCTCTCTCTTTCTCTTCGCTCGCTCTCTTCCCTCCCTCGAGCCACCCGCCGGTTCGTACCCGGTCTGCTTCCGATTCCCTTTCTGTCTCCTTTTTAAAAGCTCCTCTTTCCCTCGTTTTCCTTTTTTTCTCGTAAAGTTCGTGACTCACCAGCAGTTCTCTCTCGAAAAAGGGTTAAAAAAAAAAGAAACAATAAGGGATGTATCTTTCAAGTTCGAGATTTTTCAGCAGTATCCTCGTTAGTATCGGGTATAGACTGAACAGTTTTGAACAAAATACGCTAATCTGTCTTCAAATCAGTCATTTCTTTCCAGATTTGTTGTCTTCTAAGAAGACTCGTTGTCAAAATTAAATATATTAATTAAATTTGTGATTAACATTAAATGATTATATATAATATAACGTAATCTATTAAAAACAAATAAAGTACTTTTACTTCGCCAGTGAGTGATAAAATTAACAAACTCCTTTGCTTCGACCAAACTGGCTATTTTTATTTAATTAGCACAACGCGTTTCGACCAAGATTCCGGTCCTTTTCAAATGCGTACAATATTAACCGCTTGCGAATCATTTCGTAGACTCATTGCTGCCACTTTGATTTAATGGAGTGTTTTGCAAGCGGTTAATATTGTACGCACCCGAAAAGTACCGTAATGGGGGGTGTTGGGGGGCTCAAGAAAAGCTTAATCTCAAGTTTTCGACCTCTGTTTCCCGCTTGCTTTTTTTACGGGAGTAAAAAATGTGAAAAAATGGTTTTTCTGCGATAATTCGGTTTCTAATAAAGTTACAAGGTCGAATCAGAGCTCATTTTAAAGCTTTTTTTACGCTCTACAAATTATGTCGTATAACATTTTTACGTATGATCGATTGTTTTCGAGGCATCGAACGAGAAAGGAAAATAAAAAAGTATGTTATTTAGTTTTTTTCTTTTTACTCATTATTGTCGTCCGAAATTGCAAAAATGCTTCAAATGAAACTTGTAGAGCGTAAAAAAACCTACAATTTTTATTTGTTATTCATTTTATTTAGTTGAAAATTACGCCTTGTAGAGCGCCTCAAAGTGGAGAGTCGTCGCCATCGCGTCAGCGGCGCGTTGGTTACGTCGATACGCGGCACCGAACGCTTTTGCTAAGATTTCCGATTTCATTGACGCAAAAAAGTTTTTTTTATTTTATCGTTTTTCGTACACGAATCTGTATAAATGCTTCAAATAAAACTTGCACAACAATAAAAATCGTAAAATGTTCTTATTTATTACTTTAATTTCGTTGAAAATTCCATATCGCACTACGCCTGCAAATAAATCTTGCAAAGCCTGAAATTATTATATTTTGAAACCGTCAAGTTTTCTTAAGGGAATCAAACACGTATTTGCCATTGCAGATAGTTGTTTTGAAACGAAAATTACACTTACCGTTTCATTGAAGAATACATGAAAGCGTGCAGTTTTATATCTAAGTGACAATATTCTGTGAAGTAAGTTTATAAGAAAGAAATACTTTATACATTTTGCTCATTACTTAATAAATAACAAGTTATTCATGTCTTGAACGTTTTGGTCGTGGCTGATTGTCGCCATCGTCTTCTTGAAGTTGAACCTCGTTCGGGTGTTGCTCGTCGTCTCCGTCGTCGTTGAAATAGTCATCCATCTCACTTGCCATAATTTCTGCCGGAATTATCGAATTCAGGCATGTTTGTCCGGAACAGTGATAGCAAATCATCGAACAAAATAAGCAAAATAAGCAATTTTTCTTGAAATGGAAATCTGGATGACACTGTTCTTCTCTTGATGTTGATGGTGATTCGCCATTGCCACTTCGCCGAGAAGCCGACGAAGCTAATCTTTTATTCGAATACGTTTTGTAACACGCCCCGTGTACAGCAACTTCGGTCAATGTCTGCAACTTTTGATGAAGGTTTTTCACATATAAAACAATCCGAGTCACTCATTGTTGTTCATTAAAAACTGCATTAACAAAATGTCCACAAAATTCTCGTTTCGAAAAGCATCCGCTCGCTGCGATATACAGAAAACGACTGGCAAATGCGATAAAAAGGACCGGCGAGCAGATGTTTACTATAGTAAACATTTGCTAGTATGTTTACTTTATATAAAACCATGAAGAAAACAATAAAGTCTGAAATCTTAGCGAAAGCGTTCGGTGCCGCGTATCGACGTAACCAACGCGCCGCTGACGCGATGGCGACGATTCTCCACTTTGAGGCGCTCTACAAGGCGTAATTTTCAACTAAATGAAATGAATAATAATTTTCAACTAAATGAAATGAATAACAAATGAAAATTGTAGGTTTTTTTACGCTCTACAAGTTTTATTTGAAGCATTTTTGCAATTTCGGACGACAATAATGAGTAAAAAGAAAAAAACTAAATATCATACTTTTTTATTTCCCTTTCTCGTTCGATGCCTCGAAAACAATCGATCATACGTAAAAATGTCATACGACATAATTTGTAGAGCGTAAAAAAAGCTTTAAAATGAGCTCCGATTCGACCTTGTAACTTTATTAGAAACCGAGTTATCGCGGAAAAACCATTTCTTCACATTTTTTACTCCCGTGAAAAAAGCAAGCGGGAAACAGAGGTCGAAAACTTGAGATTAAGCTTTTCTTGAGCCCCCCAACACCCCCCAAAAGAAAAATCCTAGGTCAGAATTATGCCTTTTATAATCCGTTTTTTTGTACATAGTGACTGGACTATTTGATTTAATGGAGTGTTTTGCAAGCGGTTAATATTGTACGCACTTGAAAAGGACCGGAATCTTGGTCGAAACGCGTTGTACTAATTAAATAAAAATAGCCAGTTTGGTCGAAGCAAAGGAGTTTGTTAATGTAATCTATTAATTTTTAATTAATTTTTTTATCTTTTAACTAGTTATTTCCTTGATTTGTCGTGAATCTCCACGTAAGTAGTGACGCGATAAAGATTAGATGCGCGATGTTTGATTGCATTTACAAAAAGCAATTTTTCCTACTAACTTTCTTCTTTCATAGAAAACGGATTGTCTGAGGAGCGTCTGAAAAAAAAGAAACAGGTCAATCGTGTATTTTTGGCATGTCATCTAAAGGCCACCGTGCGTGCAAATATTTAGCGAAACGCGCGAATAATGTTTCACGTTTCGTGCGACAGCATCGCGCCGGGATGCGGCGTACGTGCAAGGGAAAAAAAGGTTAAACAAATATTAAAGGCAAACAGAGAAGAACTGGATTCGAAGCGCGTGGCGAACCCGTTCCGACCGGCGCGTATGGTTCTCTTGAATCGGGACCTTTCCTCTCTTTCTCTCTCTTCCTCCTCCTCCTCTCCCTCCTTTTTCTCTCGTTTTCCGATCCATATCCTCGAGGCGAAAAATCCCCAGCTATGATTTTAGCCACGATGTCACACCCTGACGACTCGTTACCTCATAATGACTCTTTGCTCGTTGACGCGATATAATTTGAATCCGCGGTATTCCGCGGAAAAACGAGAAGGATATCATGGCGGGGAGATACGTCGCAACAAGAAAGATGTATCGCAAACGAGAAGAGCTTTACTTTCTCTCTCTCTCTTTCTTTTTTTTTACTTCTCGCTGCCGCCGTTTGCGCGGGTCTAAGGCGCGTTTTCTGTCGTAAGCAGAAGCACTGTCAGGACATCCGGCGTCCGTGATACGTTTCCAATATTTCATCGGCTCGTTTGCGTTATTTCGCTAGACAACTCGTCGATGCGAGATCGTCGGCTCTATAGCTCAGCTTCAGGTATCCATCCTTTTTATTCCCCATTGTCACTTTATTTCTTTTTTCTTTTTTACAAGATCATTTTACATTATTACCTATGTTTGCAATACGGCGTTCGGTTCGTTAATCGAAATCGAGAAGTATCGAAAATGTCAAACGCCTTTTACACGCGGTACAACACTTTGTTTCCAACTTGAAGAGAAACATGCGTTTTGCGGATTGTCTCTTGCATATCGATAAGAGATTTATTAATGAATGGAAATGGCATTATTAACATTACAGTTATTACGTGCACGTATTTAATGGAGTTCAATGCAATGAGACTTGAGTGATCGATAATTGATGCGAAATACAGTATTAGTCGGTGCGCCGCGTTGCCAATGAATTAATTTGCCGCGTGTATGTGCGCGTGTACGTGTACACACGTAGCGCGTGCGAGAGGGGGAGACAGAAATCGGACTGTTAATCCAATCTACACGCCAAATCAGGAATAATGGCCCGGTAACCGTTCGCGCCTTTTAATACATCCATACATTTTGATTCGAGGTATAGGAGACCCGAGCGAGAAACTTGATTTCTACGTTGCGTCGAGACCGGCGAAACGCGGCGATCATTAGCAGAAAATTAGGTCCTCGTAATTGAACGTTTGTCGAAATTTCCCCGGGAATTGTTCGCGATTGAAGCGTCCACGGCGGCTACGCGGAGGTTAACCGTTCGCCGCATACAGGAAATGGGCGTTCTGCGCCGTGTCATCGTGCGGTCGTATCGGTTACACGAATGTATTTGGCGCCAGAGCCTGCAGGCGCGATGGCGGAACTTTGAGGGTCCTATCGACAAAATCTTTCCACGCATCCGTCTCTCCCGTTTCTGTTGATTATTCGTCGAACGACGAGGCGGCACTTTGAGGACCGCGGACTTTGAAACCGCCAATCTGTTCGACGTTCATTTCCGGCCCATACGCCTCGCGGTCGACGACGGCGTGTTTCGCGGGATCGGTGGTCATTGCAATTTTTAACGCATTCGGCAGCGAAATCTGAAAGCGTATAATGACGAGATAAAGGAAAACAATTGTTCAGCATTATTTTGCTGAAAAATTATTCAGAGCGAACTTACCTTCGAACGTTCGCCGAACCATTTTGCGAACGCCCTGACGCTCTCGAGATCCGTTATGCCTCCCCAGACCACGTCCATCGTCTCGAGATCCGTCATTACGTTCTCGCATCGGAGCCATCTCTCTCTCACCCGATTTCTGGGCGGCACGAATCGAAGCTCCCGGGGTATCGCGGTGCCAAACGCCATTGTTTTGGCCGGCCTACTCTCGGCTTTGGCATCCCTGATCAGATGCTTCCTGGTCATGGCGAGCTCGCCTGCATCATGACATTGTCTCGCTGCGGCTACTCCGTTAGGCACCATCGGCATTTCCCTTATCGACATCTATCTCAAAAACATAATCAAATATTTTAATATTTAAATTCTTTACAATGATTTAATAAGGACGCTCATTAGCATCAAAATTTAAATCCAAATTTACTGTTCCAGCTTGAAGCTGCGTTTTAAGACAAAAAATCCGCGCGCAGTTTACTGAACTTGGAAAAAAGTATATAATATTCACAAAATTATTATTAGACTAGCAAGATCCAGTCCGGACCGTAAATAACATTTTTCTCCTTAATTGTACATCATAAACGGTCGAGTTTTATTTATTATTTCGAATATTTTATTTTCTTATCTCCTTTTTCAGCGCAACATAAAAAAAGTTTTCTTCTTGCTAGGAGTTTCTGGTCGTAAACGTACAAATTGCAGAAACGATATTATAATAATTATTTTCTATCGTTAATTTAGTTTGCAAATAGAACCGATATCTTTTCTTGGAGAGAAAACATTACTTTCTTCACAACTTTACGATTCGATTGGTTTTAATTCGCGAGACACGAACGCGCAATCAGGTCAGGCTTCTAGCATCGCGTTGAAGTTATAATTCAAATCCCACGTTGTGCGCGGTTCACCGCTCAAAGTGCGTGTTACCGTTGTTACATCATGCATCGCATTATGATGTTACGCCGTTGCAGAAACTATCGCGTGCGCGCATTTCGCGAGAACGCATTTGCGGGAGCGCGCGATACGCGCTATACGCGTCCCGTGCATTTTGTTTCCATGCATTCTGTGTACCTCCATCGTCCTGCTGGCGTCGGCCGTAAAGTCAATTTCGAACATATCTCCGAGGACGTCCTCGTCGATGACGCTGTCGGTGCCGCCTAAACCGCGCAGCCACTCGCAGAAGTCACGGCATATCCTGTCCGTAATATTTCTGGCTCTCATCTCAAGAGTGGCCTCGGGATCGTAGCCTTTGAGATCGGCCGCCGTTAAAGGACGCCAAGTGACAACCTGTGACGATCGGCGGGCTTCGGTTTATTAAAGAAACGAGGATATTCCCGTTGCGCTGGAGCTAACGGGAGGATTTCGCGCGAGGTCGATAATATTATTTCGCGTTGTCGTACCTTGCGCCGCGGTTTCCTCAAAAAGAGAGCGTAAGGATTCGATCTGACTTGACCTACTTTACGCTCATCTCCGCTCGTCGAAATGTCTTTGGTTGTCGGGGGATGCACCTGCGGGCGTATAAAAGCTCAACTAATAACTCTCGAACGGACAAAGCGGACTGTCTCCGAGCAACGATAGAATTCAGGGTATTAAATGAGAGACTTATTTCCATTCTCGACTTATATAATTTACTTTTGCATGAAAAATATGTGACGTAGCGAAAATGTAATTTTTAGTAAGGAAATTTAATTAAAATTATAATCATAAAAATATACAAGGCTAAAAATTTTAAAGTTATGGTGGAAATTCTCCTTAAAAAGAATCTAAATTTATTATAAAATTATATTATCGAATGTCTGGTAATTGTAGAATGTACGTACAATCAAATCGAAAGGAATTTCGTCTTCCGTTTCTTCTTCTTCTTCTTCTTCTTGTTCTTCCTCCTCTTCCTCTTCCGTTTCGTAATGCACCGCGGTCTCTTTTCGTACGGCTCTTTTCGGGTACCAGGCCGGCATGCCCAATAATGGGGCGACGAGATTGTAGGAGTCGAGCGGCAGGATACGTCTCAACAGACGGGAATTGCAAGCGGGAGGCTGTTTCGCGGAGAAAACAAGGTCAGACGGGAATTTATCGGGGTTCAAATAACGTTCCGAATCCACCAGCAATTTCGTTAATTTCGCGGCTAGTCTAGCGCGTTTTTTCGTCGTCGTCGTGTCGGCGTCATGTTGCTTTATCAGCCGCGAGGAGAACTCGTTCGCCAGGCTCTCCAACGTGGTCGTGGCCGACGTGTCTCCGCGATTCGCCTTCTCTAAAAATCGCGTGATTTCGGCAACTGTCAACAGCGGTAATTCCGCGCGCCTCTCCGCTTTCGCCGAGTCGGAGGAAGTCGACCCTTTCGCGGAATCTATCTCCTCCAAGGGGATTACCTTTCCACGCCCGCCTTCCGCCTCGCCTCGAGCAGTCTCGAACGTACGTCTCGCAGAATCCTTCGATAAATCCTCGATGCTCGCGCAACTGTATCCTCTCTTCAGCTCGCCCTTTCGTGCAGATTCTACGATTGGCGATATCAGCTGTTGCTGCGACTTAACTTTCAAGAGGGCTCTCGGGGTCCGCGAAGTCGCATCCTTCTCCCCGTCGGCCTTTTCAGGTTTCGCGGGAACGTCGGTCATCTTCGCCGACGGTCTTTCCTCTCTCTTGGCGGTTTCCACGGGTTTCACGTCATCGTAATATTCATCGTCGGATTTTTCCTTCGTCAAAGTCACGCTCTCCATGAGAGCGATTCGCGCCTCCATCGTAGTCGGTTTCCTGTGTCTCAGGGCCCGCAGGGGTTCCATGCTGGGTAGCAAGACCGTGGGCAGGTGACAGGGCGCCATGTTTTTGTACTGAGACGGATCGTTGTCCAACGCAAGCGGGGATGACGTTTCGTCGTCGGAGGTGTGCGCTTCCGAGGACGAAATTTTCGATCGTTCGACGTCCGACGACATCGAAATCGAGCTGGAAGCGGCTTTCAAGCTCTTTCGATCTTTGGATAGCAGGCTTTCGGTGGATCTCAATGGTGTTTTATCCTTAGAAGATTGATTTGGATCGATCTTTATCGAAATCTCGGTGTCCTCTTGTTCCATCCGAGGCGACGGGGACGTCGATTTGCTTGACGCGTCCTCAACCGTTTCCGGATACTTCAGAATCCCCTTTCTCCGGGAATATAATATCTTTTGCAATTCCTCGCGAATTTCCGAAAGTCCGCCGGAGCTGGACTCGCTGTCGTCCTTCGCTTCAATTTCCGTTGGGACAGCCTCGGTTTCGCTCGCCTTCCGCAGGGATTTATGCATGCAGGATAAGCACCTGTCGCGGTTCCTGCGTCGAAAGCACGAGACCCTCGGAATGGCGTCCAGGAGACTCGCCGAACGGCTTTCCCGGGTCTCGTACTTAGCGAACTTCGTGCTGAAGGCGGACCTCGCCAACGATTTCGCGGGAGCCATGGAGGATTTGCCGGAGTCCGACCTTAACGGCTTATATTTAACGCCCGGCTCTCCGATATTTGTGGCCCACGTTTCTCTCAATCTTCTTTGCATTTCGCGGAGGGAAGGATATTCTGGGCTGCGGGTCCTGGATTCAGGACTCTCGCTCTCGGCGACGTCCAACCTGTCTGTACCCACTATCGATCTATCGGTGGAAGCGCGCGATCTCTCCGACGTTTCCTCCCACACTTCGGGCTTAAAATTTAGATTTTTGTTAAGCGTCAGGCGCTTTAGAGCCTTGTACGCGCATCGTTGCGAGTAATTCAAGAATTCCCGCGTTCTATCATCGACCGCCCGCTTCGATTGCATTTGAAGATTGGGTAGCGTATTTTGTCATTCTGATTCATCGATGAGCTTTTCCCGAATTTCAGGAGTCTGTGAATTCGACGACTTATTTATTACTTCGTCAGATATCGCTTTAACTTTATTCTGGGGCTGAAACGATTCTGGAAATGACGACACGATTTTTAATCCCTTCGCGATCTTTTTTTCTTTCGTCGATTTTTTGCCGAGAGAAAATTCAAGTTTCGATATATGAACGTCAGATATGAAATTGCGTTGTTTGTCTAGTGTATCATTTTTCCTATCTTTAGATTCGACCTCTGCAATTCCACTCGCGGTTAAATCAATAGCATTATCCGGATAATACTTCAACTCCCTTCGTGGTGGAACGGTAACCCTTTTGATCTTCTTGCTCTTGACAGAAGTTATTCCGCTCTTATCTTTATCATATTTAGACGTATCCTTCACATGCGGCAATTTGTGCAACTTTTCTCCCGGCGACGCGCCCGCTCTCGGGTCTTCCGTCAAATACCTCTCGATATCGTCGTCGAAAATTCTCACCGCGGGCTCGTGTCTGTGAAAGGGACACGTCCTCTTTGAGTACACTCTTCCATCTCCCGATCCGTCATGCGGCGTGATAGAATTTTTAGACGGAACATCAAGGGACTCTTTATACGAATTCGCGTTTTTGATCGTAGATTTATTCTGAATGGCGAAAAGCGCGTGTTGTTCCTCCGCGCTCGCGACCTCGTCACTCTTCGGCGGTCTCTTCAACGGTGTGGGAGGTGAGATTTTAACTATTGGCTCTCGCGCGTTAGAAGGAACATTTTCGTTGTTCCCTCTTGCGGAAATATCTGGTGCTTCAGAGGATTTTGGATCTACGAGAAGTACGTTCTTGTCGAGGCCTTGAGGAGCGGGAGAATCTACGATATCGCGAAGACTCGTTTTAAAATCGCGCAAAATAGGAATGATGGGAAGGTAGGATGATTTTGGAAAAGGCTCTCTTACTCTAATCAACCTTTTTTCTTCTTCATCGCAAAACTTTTTCCAGTACTCCTTCGATTTAGGAAAAGGACGTTCCCAAGGTGATCTGAAGCAAGGTTATATATTGTACATGACAAGAAATTATGTAACTAATTTATAATGGCAATAATTTGGTGGGAAATATGTTTAATACCTATAGATTTACTTTATAAATTTTTTTCTGAAGTGAAGTACTGTCTAACGAATGAATGAATTAATTAATATGCTAAATGAATTAGTAAAGACATAATTATCAATAAACATTTATCTGACGTTTGAAAAATATGTTTATCGTAAATGTATATAATATTGTTATATTAGTTCAGTTTTTGAATTATTCAACATACTTCGTTCCTTCGATAATACGTAGCTTTTGCATTGAATAACGATGTCTGGACTGCTTCAGTCTTGATGGATGAGACATTTTGAACAATTCCACAGTATTTTGCACACCTGCGTAATAGTTTGACGAGTTTGCTGTATCAATATAATTTTTTTTGTTATATTTAATCAAGCCGCGATTGCGTTTCCGGCATCCCGTGATTGCCGATATGGACTACTGAAGGTATTTAATCTCGTTATCGATCAAACAAATTCGGAGCATAGCGCAAATGCCGCAGACGTCAGTCCTATGACGAGCTTCCACGAACCAGGAAGAGATGGTGGTACTTTCCTCTGAAGCTTGTATTGATCGCGTGAACACGTTGCTCGAGTTCTGTACCATCGACTGACGATTCATCGCGGTCCTTTTTGTTCTCTGAACGTCGTGGTGGCCACGTTTCCAACGGTGACCAAATTTGTATCTATCGCGGATAATATCGAAGCGCTAAATATATTTATCTGAAAAGGATTCACATGAATTGGCTGGTGTATACTCAAAATCTGACGAATGTTCCACAAGATGTCTTCACCATTTAAATTCTGCGCTTTACGCACGTACCGCGCCTGCAGGGATGACTGATCCGCACAGTCATTACGGCTTAGCAAACCCACGGATTCGAGTTCACTGCACTGCGGACATTCACATACATTTACATATCATATACACGTCCGTGTACTCGCGAATGATACTTCAACAAACGTTTGAAGAAAAACAAGAGCAAGATATAATTTAACTCAGAAAGAGAATACAAAATTTACATCATATTTAATGTAAATAGAACAGGATAGTTAAAAAATTCATTTTTTACTTATATACCTTTCCAAAAAAGTGTTGCAAATATAAATATACAGACATGCAATATAGATTTCTTTAATTTTTAATACATGCAACGATCGCTCTTACTTTTATATAATTAATCTCTTTCACAGAATAAGGTTAACAAGAAGGGAAAAAATAAAGTGTATTTTTGCATGAAATTTAATGTGCGAGCATTAGTGATGTATTCATTTATTATATAATTTATATCAGATTTACGTCAGACTTCGAGAAGTGTAGAAAACGTACAGGTCTTTTCTAGGTAAATGTTTAGCGTTCAATTAATGTCCATGACAAATGCAATTTCGGTTATCTTTGAAAAATAATACCTAAATAGAAAATGTAAGTATGATTTTATAATTTAACAGAGATGAAAGAGAGAAAGGGAGAGGACAACAAAGAGAATACATTTCACAAAGTAATTATTTTAGAAGCAAAAGAGGCATCTCTTTTCGCGCGCAACGAGCGTCGTGTAGTTATACGCAACTTCGGTATTAACTGCCGGCCAATAAGCTGCAGCACAAATTGCGCTCGCTTGTGGCGACTGAGGAAGCTCAGAAACTTCCAATGCGCCCCCCCGTGTGTATTTTGCAATAAATAGACGCATTGCGCAAACAATAAGTTACGTACGTAATTACGTATATAACTTATGCGAGGAGGAGCACACACTAACGTTTCGCACTATGGTATACGTTGACCTAACGACGGGACAAGGTACCCCGGCGCGGCACCGTGGTCGCTATCTTATTTCCGTTGTCTCAGCTGTCGCCAGTTTTCCGGTCGGGTGCATCTCGCATTCGGCGAAGGAGAGACAATTGGGTGAAAATAATTACTTATTGCCACTGTATTTCGAATTGGAATCGCTCGCGTTATCTAAATCGAAATTTTGAATAAAACATTTGATCTCTGAAAAATGCATTAGGCGTTGAAAATTAACGTAGGAATAATGAAAAAGTTTTTCTCAAGCATCGTAATTTATTCAGATCTTTTGCTCGCAAATGTGCGAATATGAAAATGTGTGGGTTATATTTGACAAATTTAAATTAAGTTAATCTAAATTAATTATTTGAGTTTTATAAAATTTTATTTCTGTGTTTGCGAGAAATAAACGCAAATACGCACGGGAATATCGTTATCGAGATCGACGAAACTGCATTTTCGCAAAATATCCTCGGCAAAGCCTGCAAAGCGGAGATTATTCAGAATTACCATGTTGTTAAACGCGAGTCTATCGGATCGGTCGCTCGATCGGTCGACGATCTCTCGACACTTTGTGGTCCAGGATCGATATTTCGAATCCGTCCTCGCGGAATTCCGGGATCTTTGATCCGCGCTGCACTCCGCGCGAGAGTACACTGGAGTACATTGGACGTGTTGGAATGAGTAATTCGTGGTTCGGCGGAGTTTGACAGTTCGCTAAAAAGCTCTCTGCCGCGCCCGCAGGAAGTGAGTTGACAGTCAGGAGAATGCGTATACGCGCACATTCTGGCGCCGGCGCCGCCGCGCCGGTGGTGTAGCCGCGGACAATGGTGTTCATTAATGACGCTTGAAACTCGTTCCGCAGATATTGTCGTAATATTAAAATGCGAACAAAACGCTCCTCTTTTTAGTGTTATTTCTTAACATTAACGCACTGTTATCGCTTGTCTCTCACAGTCCTAACATTGTTTCTCCTCTTGTTGATTCTCCGATTTTTAAAATTGTTTCTTCTATGCGACCGCGACGATAGCACTTACTTAAATTAGCGACACTTAATTGACATCGCAACGCGGACGATATTAATTTCACGCAATTGGCAACGTAGTAATATGTCCATGAATAAATATTTGTCGTACAAGGGAATCAATTTGATCTCATGCAGAGTGACGAAACGTAGGCATGCAAAAAAGGCCATTAGGAACCCCATTAATGGACGGGATTGCGACGGGATGCGACTGTTTCGCGTTTCGCCGGAAGCATACGTTGGAAGCGTGTGCGTGCGGGTCGCGTGCACACCCTGGTTAGAGGTGAGGACGTCAGCCGACCCGAGTCGTGCGGAAATCCCGGGAATATTTGAGCAGCGAATGTCTAAGCAGCGTCGGATATCAGACCGTCTGATACCTCGCCGCTCTGACAGCGGGTCGTCGACATGTGTAAAGTTAGTCGGCGTGACAATGATAGCGCGCGAGAAACTCGGCGGAAAATTACACGTGTTTTCTGCCGCGCGCCCGCGGACGGGGGAATAATTACACATTGGCCGGGAATGCAAGTTTCATGTTTTCGAAATATAAATTCTGATTAGAAATCCCGTAATGTCATGAGCTTATAAATGTATATGCCGCGTGGCGTAATTCAAATATTCATCGGTGCCGGCGGCGCGACGGCGAGGCTAATAAAGTTGGGAAAACCCGTTGTGAATTTGTATACTGATAAATTTTATAAAAACTATTTTCTACCCCACACGAGAGAGAGAGAACCTAGCGTAATTTCATATACTCGCATGACTTCCTGAAAATAAAATGTTGCTATTTAACTTTAAATTTAATTGGGGGATTAAATTTAAACGCGCATTTGAAAACGAGACGCTGGCGTTTTCTCGTTAACTCTTATTAACTAACGCTTTATATCTGTTACTTCGTCAAAAGATTCCATCACAAAGGAACGTAAACGCAATGTGAAATTTTGAATTGCACATTGCCACTTCAATGTCGCTTACGGGCTACATTTGCTCGTTGGAGATATAACTGGAGGTGTGCACAATCCGAGTATGATTTCTCTGCCGCTTATACGTATAAAATAATAAGATACGATCAATGCCATTAAAGCGCGGGACGCAGTTTGGAACGGACGCGTTTGGAACGGCGGCGGCAATTAATTGCGGAGTGGAATTGCTCTTTGTTACGGGAAAAATCGCGGATAATGCCTTTCCGCGCCGCCGCGCCGCAACGTTTAAAGCGCGGCACGAGCTATATACGATGGGATAGGTACGTGAGATTACTTTGGACTTTCAGTTAACGCACGGCTTTGAAACAAGGTGCCGCGGCCTGTTTCCCCTGCGCTGCCGGCAAACTTTAATTTAATTCGCGCTCATACGTCAGGCATATTGCAGACTCGTTGCCTGCTATTTCAGACCGGAGAGCGATAATCAGCCGGCGCCTTCTTCGCGAACGGCCTCCCGTCGAGTGTCTTGGAGATGTTTCGTCGCGTCTTACGAGATATCTCGGAGTCAGACTATTGAGAAAGTCTGATTAATTTGACGTCTCTATCTAATGATTCTAATGCTTTCTCCGAAAAGCACGAATAGCAAGAACGAGAGGATTTTTTCTAGTTTTTAACTGATATAACTTTTAACGATAAAAAAAGCAATTATAAATTTTTCAGCGTTGTCTTGAAATAAAAGCGCTAATTATTGCATTTATTATAGACATTACGCTAATTGATGCTATAATACTTTAGATCGCACAACGTAGACACTGATAAAATAATTTTCGTTATTTATTCGTGACGATTGTAAAATTGCCGGTTGATATAAAAGGTGCGTTATTTACGTCACATGCAGAATCTTAGCCACTGAGAATTTATCTCCGCTTTATCAATTCGATATGGGAAATACCGGAAATACCGGAAACGGATCGCCCGCTCGAAATATGAGAAACGTTCCCACGAAACGAGGCAAAAATCTTTTAAATCATCGCGCAGGCAACGTTACGCGCTAAATATCCGAACGAGCACACAAACTTCAACGATATAATCGGGTTACGCGTAATTATTTTGTCGCTCGTACGGTATACGTGGGTAGGTACATACACACATTGAAATTCCGTCGAGCGGAGAGCGGGCGTGAAAAAATTTTTAAACGCGAAACTAATGGTTATTCGCCGCACACGGAGTAATTAGAACTTTTCCGCGCTAATGCTAAACTGATTGGGAAACGCCCGCCCGTGTACATAGGACTCGCCTCACACACGTACACACCAATACGCGCGTATACAGTCTGGCAGAATGAATTTGAGAACCAGTCGGAGCACGGGGGAAACAAGATTAGGCGGCTAACTTTGTTTGCCAGGACCAATCAGCAGGCCCAAGAATCTCAACTCGGCCCGAGTACATTCTTCTCGAATTAAGATGACTTCCGTAATGTAGTTCGTGATTGAAATAATTCTATATACCGTTGTGTCTATCTCATCGGAAATGATGTTAATTAATATTCCGCAAATCTGCAATTTCACAGTATTTGCGATTGTATTCCTTCTGAGAAATTAGTTATTGTCCAAATTCAACGTAAACAGAAGTCTTATCGATGACGTGTTTTTACGACCGAAAGTAAACTATACGAACTTTACACAAATATATACTTTTCTCGTGCCGCGACTTGAATAGTACGCGCCGGATTTAGTAGAGTTAGTCAAACGACGATGATAATTCCTATGGGCGCGCGCGCGCGCTGCGAACGGGGGTTTAATAAAAAGCGGAGTCGCGGAGAAAGTGGCTTCCCGAGGTTATCGCCGCTCGTAAACGCCCGGGGAATATACCCGATTATGGAAAATCCTGCCTGCGACTCTTCTTTTCCCTTTGCGCGAGCCTCTCTTTCTCTCCCGCTTTACCGCCGCTGTCTTACACATTTCGCCAGACGTCTCTTCACCGGGCGTCTTCTCACGTGGCACGCGAGAGAGCAGCCTTATCCCGGATTCTCGGCGTACCCCGTGCGCGGGACCGCAGACACACACGGAGGTCGTCGTCGGCGGGCGCGGGAGGATCGGTCGTAGGACGCGCGTAGTAACGCGAGGTCGAATCAGA